AATATTTATTACTAAATAATATAACAAGTATTTAGACACAGTCCAGATGCTTTAAGTATAAATAGTAATGAGATCGTACCTTAAAAGAGATCACTAACAATAGGCCACAAAAGATATACTTCCACAGAAGTATCCATATAATAAAAATCGCCTATCATGCTGAATGCTCTTATTTTATAATATCTCTCAGAATAGAGATATTATCTAAACATTATCTAAATGTTTAGCTACAATAGGCATTAATTTTATATCTTAGTACTAAATCACTTCAGTTCATTTAACTGAAATAAATTTCAGAGAGAAAAATTTTAATACATTCATTATAAAAAAAGTGATTATTATCAGGTAACAGTTATTCAACATCAAAAATGATGACTGACAAGGGAATATAAAGCCAAGAATGACATGCAAGGGGACAAGAAATAAAGTTGCTTGGAGAAGCTATCTTTTAAGGCAAGTCTTAAAGAAAACAAGGGCATAAACAGAACGGAAAACACAGAGCCTCCTGGCTGGGATCCGGGAGCTGCGACACCCTCACAAGATGTGTAGGGACCTGGGAGAACAAAGTAGAAACTTTCAGACTGAATTGGCTGAGACGAACTTTGTGTTCACTGCACCCCCAGAAGGGGCCTTGAAACAGGGCTGGCTCATCCTAAGTACAAGACATGTTGTCACACACACGCTCCCCAACTTGTACCGCCAGCATGAGTGTCTGAGGATACTCCTAGGGGCCTGTCTCATCCTCTCCTCCTGTCTCATCCTCTCCTCCTGGGGCCTGTCTACTTCCAGGTTATAAAGATGAAAGCCATGGATGATATTCAGATAAAAGTTGAAAGTGCAATTTTTCATATTTGTTGAAATCCATTTTAAAAAAATGAAATGAAACACATTTCTACCTTTAAAACTATCCCCTTGGGGTCAGAGAGACAGCTCAGGGGTCAAAGTGCCTGCTTGGCAAGCACAAGGAGCCAGGTTTGATCCCGGTACCATATGCTGTGCCAGCCCAGAAGCCCGAGCATAGTGGTGCACACTAGGGAGGCCGAGGCAGGAGGATAACTACAAGTCCAAGCTATGATAAATAAAAGATTTTTTTTAAATCCCTTGCACATACAACTCAGTATCCAATTAAGTCTAATACTTTATTTTAATTGTCAAAATGGTAAACATGAAGGTACATACTGCAAAAACTACCAATATTACCCCGAGGAATGGCAAACAATATGTAATGTCTAGCAGCAAAGTTAATTTTCAGTCTGATTAGAAACATAAAGAAAAACATTTATTGAGACTAGATATGAACCAGGTGACCAACCCAAAGCTGCAGTGAATGAAAATCCATGCTCTTCTCCTTTGCTTTTTAATGCAAACTACTCATATTATAGCTCCAGAGTAGAGTTGTGTTTTTGAGAGAGACAGAGACAGAGACAAAGACAGAGACAGAAACAGACACAGAGAGAAAGAACTAACTTTCCTGGTAAAGATGCATGTTATTTATGTGTATCATAAAACAATTTTATAGTTGAGGACATAGCTCAGTGGCACAACACCTGCCTGGCAAGATCAAGGTCCTGAGTTCAATTCCCAGTATGCCAAAAACAAAACAAAACAAAATTTATAGTAATTATTTTGGTATTTGCCCAACAAATTGAAGTATATTTATGTACATTTACTGTTTCAATTTTTCAGCAACTTATCAGATGAATACTTTTAGTATTTCATAAAACATAATGAAAGTATACAGCTTAATTCCATTGTATATTTAGTATGAGAATGCCTTGGGAAAATAAGACTAATCAACTAATTTAGTAGTTGGGCTATTGTAAAGTAACAAGTTCACCAAGAGTCAAAGCTCATGAACTGCATAAAATTTATATTATAAATGAATCTACTGCTATTGTAAAATTCTTCATTACACTTGGAATTATATAGTTATGTAGTTATGTGTTTAGATTTTTCCTTCCAAGAAAAAAAAAAAAAACAGCCTGGCCAGATAGTTCAGTGGATTAAAGCCCCTGCTTAGGCAGATACAGGGACTGGGGTTCGATACCCGGCATCACATGCCATGCCAGCCCCGTCCCAGGGCATGCTGCGACAAGACTGAGACTGGGTGTGGTGATGCACATCTATAATTCTAGCACTTGGGAGGCTGAAAACAGGAGGATCACTATGAGTCCGACCTGTTTAGTGAGATCTTGTAGACCTTATACTAAATACAAAAAAAACCATATTCACTGGGTATCAGACTCTTACATTTCTTACTTCCTAACTGTGGGAAATGTAAACAGTAGGAGCATTGTGCACTATAATCTAGAGTACATTTGATCAATATTCAACAGTGAGTAAACTACGGCAATTTCTAGACTCTCAAATAGTACTGGAATCAGATAGTCTAAGTCCCGTCTTTACGCTACATGACTTTTCTTGGTACATCCAATTTTCTATACACACTTTGCCATCATACTTATAACACTGATTTTAAATTTTTATATTTAGTCATCCATCTCTTCCACCATGCTATAAATATACTTAAGACAGTATCTATCTCTATCCTTTGATTCCTGGTCCACAGGAAGACACCAATTCACAATGGCTGAATTGTTTTTGTTTGTTTTTCTTTTTTTGTTGTTGCTTTCAAATAAGATTTCCTTATGTAGTCCAGACTGACCTGGACTTTGCAACCCTCCTGCCTCAGCTTCCTGTGTATTGAAATTACAGGTGCATGGTACCACACCCATCCTACTAAACAGGTTTTTACAACTGCTTTTTCTTTTCCTTTGATTCACCTCCTCCTTGGTAGAGACAAGGCCATTGTTTTTGTCACTTCTTTTACATTGTATATTATAAACAGAATGAGTGTCTTAGGTTGCATTGTTTTATTCTTGGTTCAGAGCTAAATCCCAGGAGTTCCTGCCTGAGTCGCCAGCCAAGAGAGTTAAGAGGAAGTAAATATGAACAGGCACTGCAGTGATTCAGTCCTAAAGGACAATGACCTGAGTCATTTCTCCACTCCCTGTATCCTGTCTCCCACCCACCTGGGTGACAATAATGCTATGGAGCTTTGAGATAATGCAACTATTAAAAGTAAATCATAAGTCAAAAACATTTCTTCTCTTTCGTAAGTCATGAATAAAGAAAGAAAACTTCGAAGAAAGAATGTGAATAGAGTAGGGTTTTCAGGTAATTTATTCTTACTGTATTGAACCTAATATTTATCTATTTAATATCATTAACAAAGCATAGAAAGTCCAAAACTAAGGCTCAGAGATATCCTATCAAATTAAAAATTAGCCTCTGGAAGGCAGCTGTGAAGGAGGTCATGAAACTGTGTGAGCTCTGTGTTCACAGAGGTGTGGTTCATGTCATCTTATAATTGTTTGGGTGGACTGCTGAGTGGCTCTTCTTTTTGATTGGACAGATGCCTTTCTCAGAAAGGGTTCTCTTGCCCACCTGAAGCTTTCATAGGTAAATGGATGCAAGTAGGGACCACACCCATAAGTGAAATAGATCAGACCTACATATGTAGACATCAACATTACATTGTCTCCCTCATGTAAACAACTGAAAGACTAAATAATATCCAAAAGTTACAAGAGATACCGTGAAAGGGAAAGAAACTCCACCTTATTTATTGTGAAATCTAATGTGAGTATGTGCAATTGTAATTCTGTGTAAGACCGTATACTCCTTCATGCAGCTATAGAAATCCAACAGCATAATAAAAATGAACCTATATTGACATTTGTAGTACTTAAAATTCATACTTCATCTGGAGATTCATTTTCAAAACAGAACTCTTTAGGTGGAAATGATGTGTGACTTTACTATTATCTGTATCTGATATTTGGAACAGGACTCATTTGTTTGTTCTCCCCTCATACATTTCCCACATGAACTGAAAAGGTTTGCCATTTTGCATGGATATAGGGGACATAGTAACATTATCTGGTGCAAAAAACTGCTTTCTATAAGAGTCTCTAAAATGAGTTGTCTACCTGGGAAGTAGCAGACAATGTTAAAATCTGTCCAAGTGCTGAATTAAATTTCTTTCAACCTAAAATGAATGAGAAATGAGACATCATGCTTAACTGAATGTTCCAAATAATTGAAACTTACCACACAAAGATTATTAATTTGAAAAATATTGTAAAATGCTCTCAAAACAGAAATGCACTAACCCTAACAGTGTCTATGCTCTGTCCTACTTATAGTATTATTTGTCCTATCCTGGCTTCCCAAGAAGCACAATATGAGGTAAAAACTTGCTTGTAGTAGATTTGAAGGAAGTTGGCCGGCACTGACAGCAGCTATAAATGCCCCCTGGGACACTGTGAACTGTATAAGAACTGTTGTCCCCGTGACTCAGTGGGAAGCGTTTGCCCATCAGCTCTCATATGACACTGTTCATTGTCTTTACCAGCATGAATTCCTACATTTCTGGTCATCCCCCTAGAAGTAGCTGTGGGTTTCTCTAGGCAGAAAGTGCAAGTTCTAGGAGCTAACTTGAGAAAGACATCTGCTCAAGTTCTCTAGGCAAAGGAGTGGCTAGAACAGATGAGCCAAGTGGATTAAAAGGGGGAATAATAATGGTGCAATTACATTCAGTTTTCTACTGATTTGGATTTAAGATATGGTGGAAGATTATCATATATTGTAGCACTTTTCAGGACCAAGATTGTTTTTTTCTAGTAAGTTCTAATAAGAAACATGAAATTTTGTTTAGAAATAAAAAATGACACAAAGATGATATTAATCTCCCAGCACTCAGGAGGCTGAGATAGGAGGATCACTGCGAGTTTGATGCCAGTCTGGGTTACAAAGTGAGTTCAAGTCCAACCTGAACTGCGTAATGAAATCCTACCTCAAAAAAAAAAAAATCTCATGCTACTTTATGAACATTAAAATTATATAGTCAAGACTGTATAAAATTATTATGCTTACTATTCATATTGAATTAAATTGTGTTCACAAATGTACTTTTCATTTTTTTCCTTTACTTTTAGACATTTCAATGTCAATGGCAGAAAATCTTCTCAACACCTGTAAGTTCATCAGAAAGTTTTTTTTCAATCAATACTTAATTCTGTGAATGACCCAAAGGCCTCCCCTTGACATTCTACATAATATCCGTAATGGTGTAATGGGCAGCTTTCTTCCAGAAACTTCTAAGAAAATTACTGCAGTGTCCCTTAAATTCTCTGACACTTTATCATGGCTTTAAAATGAGAGACACACATGTACCTCGGTAGTGTCCCAAATTTTCTGATCAAGAAGATTATGGGGCCAAAGAGGAAAGTGATCGATGACATAGAGTGGGCCTAAGGAGAGTCACA